CTTATAAAAGTCATAAAAGCTTCCTCCCATTCTTTGCTCTCTGCCATGTGAGGCTACAAAATGAAGTCAGGAGTCTGCAAATAGGAAGAGCCCTCATAGAACTTGACCATGCTGGCACCCTGAACTCAGACTTCCAGCCTAAAGAACTATGAAAAATAATTTTTGTTGTTTAGAAGCTGCCAATTAGTTTGGTAGAGGAGCCTGAATGGCCCCCCCCACCGCCCTTGACAATCCCCCGATAAGCTCAGGTTTTAATCATCTTAAAAGGTTAAACTAGTTCCCAGGCCCCAATCAAGACTTCATCAATTTTTTTTTAATTTTCATAAGAGTTTATGTGAGCCAAATTGACGACATGCTGGAAAGCCAGATCTCAAATGCTGGAGAAAGACAGTTTTGCAGTTTTCTTTATATATAATATTCTTTGGGATATCTACATTCAAACTTTGGCCTCAGCTGAGATAATATCTATCTCTTGGGTCTACAAACCAATTTCTATAATGGGACTAAAGGTTGGGATGATAAACTTTGTAAACTTTGCAGGATCTGTGTGCTTTACTAAAATGTGTGATGCTTTTAGAGAAGCTGGCATACTATACTGGTGATTCTATCAAAATATGGAGGAGGATTTAAGTTTACAATCTATGTTTAAATAATATGATTTGTAAAGTTTGTTGACTTTGATTTGTCAACACAAATGTGCTGACTTTATATAAATTATGTTTAAATGTTTAGACAATTTTTGCTTAAATGGATTTATGAAGTAAATAGATTAAGCAATAAATAAAGCACAGATGGTGGTTAGTGTTCCCCTCCAGGTACAAAAAGCTCCTCAGACTTTAAATATTCTAAAAATAGGATCCAACTGCCCTGCTTTCCTTACACCCACGCCCTGGCAGCTGCTTACCACAGAGAAAAGTCCTATAGGATTCATTGTGAATCTAAGTCCTATAGGATTCACTGTGGATCTAAGCCCATGGTCTCCAGCCACCCCGTCCTCAATCCGCCAACCAATTCTTCTGTGGTTCCCTTTGCCAGTCTCTTCCCTCACCCTCCCCAGAATCCAGTTAAAGCCTTCTGTTTTCTCCTTAAATCCCTTACCCCCCACCCAACTTTGCCCCCACTGTCAGCAGCAGATGGCCTCACCTTTTACAGTGAAAAAAAGCAGAAAACTCCAGGCAGGAACCCCTCCACCACCACATTGAGAAACTCACCGGCCTCATCTTGGCTTTCTCCTAGCTGGTTCAGTAGAATATGTGTCGCTTCTCTTACCAATACAGCTATCTTCATCTTCCAGCCATGGATGCCATTTCTTCCAAACATACTCTCTTCCTTTCCTCTCACCTCTCCTATATGTTCAACTTCTCCCTCTCTGCTTATTTCTCCCCTTCAGTTAAATAGACTCAAGTCTCTTCAACCTAAAAGAGAAAACAAAGGGTGTAGAAATGGCTGTAGATGTTTAGTTATTCTCGGCTCTATATGCCCCCAGAATTGATTGGCATAATCCTCCTCCTCTTTAGAGCCAAATATCTATGCTCACCAGTTGCTCGCCTCTATATCAGCTATGGCCTCCATAGCTCCACCTAAATTGCGCTCAGCTACTCACTCACTACTTCTGTGTCACTAAAGTCAATGGACACTTCCTAGTCCTTCTGTTACTGGGGCTCTCCCTAACATTTGACCCTGTTGACCACACCCTCCTAGAAGCACTCTCTGACCTGATTCCCTGACTGTTCTCTCCAGGCTTTCCCTCCACCTCTTTGCCAAAAACCCACATGCCCAGTTTTTTGTTTGTTTGTTTGTTTCAGGCTCCTCTGCACATCTCTTTTAAAATATATATATATATATCTTTATTGATTTCAGAGAGGAAGAGAGAGGGAGAGAGAGAAACATCAGTGATGAGAGAGAATCATTGATTGGCTGCCCCCTGCATGCCCCCTACTAGGGATCAAGCCCACAACCCGGGCATGTGCCCTGGGCCGGAATTGAACCTGGGACCCTTCAGTCTGCAGGCCGACGCTCTACCCACTGAGCCAAACCGACTAGGGCTCTGCACATCTTTTAAATGTTGATTTTCCTCAAGGTTCTCCCCTAAGATTCCTTCTGTCTCAAAAGCAGGATTTCCCCTCATGTACTAACAACTTCTGCATTTTTTTTCTCTATTCAGAACCATCCTCCTAAATCTCAGACTTATACATTGTATGTCCCACCTTAAAGTCAACCTGCTAAAATTATAGTTTCTCCTCCCTAAATCCATTCTCCCTCCTTGTTCCCTGTGTCTACAAATGGAACCTCCCTGTTACCTCAACCAAATACCAGCTCTTATCTTCAATTCTTGCCTCTCCCATAACCTCGTATCCAATGACTCACATACATGGGTTGCACCATTGTTTTCCATCCACCCTGGCTCAAACCACCAATCTCTCAAGAGTTCTACAAAAGCTTCCTAACTGGCCCCTTGACCTCCAGTTTTGCCTCCCCTAGTCAATTCTCTGCACTGGGGTTGCCATAATGATCTATCTAAATGAACTTCACTGGCTAAAGCTCTTAAGGGGAACCCCCAGGAGGGGAGTGGGTTTCAGAATGAAGTCCGTATTTCTTAACATTGATATTTTAAGGTCCTATGTAATCCAGTTGCTGCAATATCCCTGCTTCATTTTTCACATCTACAAGAATGTGGAAACCTATGAAATAATGCCATTTATTAGCTGAGGGAAAATGGCACCTCTTGGAAAAAGAGAGTATGGCATTCAAGTCAAAACTTACCAGGGCCAGCCCTAGCCGAGTAGCTCAGTTGGTTAGAGCATCGTCCCAATGCACCATGGCTGTGGGTTTGATCCCTTGTCAGAGCACATACAAGAAAGAGTCAACCAATGAATGCATAGATAAGTGGAGCAACAAACTGATCTCTCTCTCTCTCTCTCTCTCTCTCTCTCTCTCTCTCCAAAATCAGCAAATAAAGGGAAATACATTACCAGGGACAAAGGAATCATTTGTAGACACAACTGAGATAAATCAGGACCTATTTTAGTTTATAAATCACAGTAATCTGGGCCAAACTGAAATGGAGAAATCTTCGCTGACACTATATAACATTAATGAATAACAGAAAGACCATAGATTAGGGAGAGGGCGGGAGGGGGAAGAAGCTTGAGGAACAAAGTTAATATACTTGCATGAGAGTCAGTGAACATAGTGGTTAAGATGGTGAACACAGGAGCCTCTTACTTAGTAGTTGCACAGGACCTTGAGCAAGTCAATTCTCTTCACTGTGCCTCATTTTCTCCAACTATAAAATGGAGAGAATAATTGTACTAGTATGTACCTCACAGGATTGGAAAGCACTTAGAACAGTGCCTGGCTCGGAGAATGTACTCAATATATGTAACTTACTGTTACCATATGAATTAATAGACAAGTTAAAACTTATACATGTCCCAAGGATTCTTGGACAATCTTTTAAAAAATAGGTAGGATTTTTATTTTGTTTTATTATGACCATTTACCAGTTACAATGTTTCTTTCTTTTAGGTATGTTCACCTTTACCCATGAGCCCAGACTTAGTAAATATTTGCTAGGGAAATATGGTATAGCAAGACTGAGGGGACGTCCTAATCTCACCAGATAGTTTATGTATATTTTAGCATGGAAATGGGATACAGTGTGGACGTTCTTTATAGTTTGCTTATGTCATTGGACTGTCTGCATACTGGTGACTTTGTAATTTCTCTATTAGAGACTTAGGGAGCCCACCTACCAGTGCCACCAGAGAGAAGGGGGAAAGGTGATGGGTAAACAAGAAAAGCAGTCACTAGTGTCCAGTGCCCAGTGTGCTCAGCTGTGAACAAATTTTTTAAATTTACTTCTTTAAAAATAGGAAGAATCTTTAATCTCAGTGTAAATTGTTCAACAGTGAAGAAATCTCATCCTGTCTATTTTCAAGACATAAACTGGAAAGAGCACTAGCTGGCAAACCACAGCCTGGGCTCTCCTCCTGGCCCTGCCATGAATCAGCCATGGGCCTTCAGATCACTTACCTGAGTGCTGGTCTGGCCTGGTCTGTAAGAGCTTGGGTCAGATGAACTTGAAAAGGCGTTCTTCAGGTCTTCAAATTGGCCTGGTAACATGCAGCAGCCATGCCTCACAGCTGCCCCCCGATGTTTCTATCTCTCAATCCCTCCCCTTCATCTCTGAAATTAGTAAAACTATATTTTTAAAAAAAAAAAAAAAGAACTGGACACTGGCTCCATATTGATCTGTTTATTGATAAATCAAATGAAAAATAAAAGGATATAGGATTATAAATGTGGTTAACAGGAGGAATGGGTATAGCCCTGGAGAAGGAAAATGAGGTTGGCCATACCATTAGAGGGAGAGGGAAGAGAAGTGGGAGGGGAGGAAAAGGAAAGAGGGTATCTGCTAAAACTCCCACAGCTCACCTTTCACTTTATCATGTCATCCAAGCATTCTTTCCTGAACAGAATTAACACCTGGAAATGGTTTAAAGGCCAACAACTAGTAGTTTGTCAACAAGATATGGGAAATGGGGAGGTGGAGAGGATATACGTATAGGATTTTGAGGGATTCTCTGACTTGAACCTGTCACCAGAACCCTCCCTGTCTGTGGTGAACTGAGAGTCAGGAAGCTTAATCCTGGCCCCGGCTTAGCCACAAACTATTGTGCGACTTGGGGCAAGTCACTTTCCCTCTCTGGGCATTTCTTTGGCTGTAAAACAAGCAAATTCTACTCTATGGCAGGTTCTACTCCGGCTCTTGCAATGCCAAGTGTGTTGGCAACCTGAGCTAGGCCAGGAGACTGGCTCAGCTTTGGAGAAATAAAACTCCTCAGAGGCCCAGGCAGAGGGCTCTGGTGCTGGCCTTCCCTGGAGTTCATTTTGTCAGTGGTGGCAGCAACTCAGAGGGTGAGTGTGAGCACACACACCTATGAGAACTCACTCTTGCTATAAGAGCAGTCATTGCAGAGTGCTCAGCCAGAGCCCAGGTTTTGCTCTACACAGAAAGCAGGTCCAGGGGATGGGGGTGATCCAACCACAGCAGTCACACACTATGGGGGCTGGGGATGCAGGGCACAGTGGAGGCAGGAGGAGGAGAGGGCTGTGGGCTTTGGGGTGGGGTTGGGAGGTAGAGCCACATCAGCACCTCACCGTCTGCCACACTGCTCATTTCAGACACCCTCCTCCTTGTAAGAGAGGCCTGGGCCCCTTGGTCTAGTTGAAGCAGCTCTTCAGATAGAGATGCCACACTTGGCATCAAGATCCTTGATTCCCGTGGAGTTAATACCATCACAGCAGGGGTCAGCGTTATCTCCATTAGCTGGAGTCAAATGAGGTAGGCTGACTCAGTCTCCCCCTTGCCTTTCTGTGCTGACAAGCCCGCCCTCCCAACCCAGCTCCAAGCCTCAGGGCCCAGGACTGCCAGCCCTTCCTGGACAGGGGGCAGGCCTAGCCTGGCAGAGAAGCTGGCCATGAGAATGGGAACAGGCTGCCTCTCCACAGCCCGTGTGGATTTGTGTCAACTGTGACAACTACAAGGGCCAAGGGTCCCCAAATGAAGGTCGGGGGAGAGGAGTCTACATTCAAGGTTTCTGTTTGAGAGTGCAATGTGGTTCTGGTTCTGAGGTCCCGAGCCACACTGTTTTATGGTTAGATAGCCGGGAGTCAAATTCTCTGTGTGTGTGCGTGCGTGCGTGTGTGTGTACACCTGCACATGTGTGACAGGGTGAAGGGGATACTTGGGGAAAGACATTGAGCCTGGCCTACCTTAGTAAGGGGAAACTGCCAGAGGCCCATATCTGACAGCAGATTCTCGCAATACCCCGCACTGGGGACATTTCCATAGGGACCCTGGTCCCCAGTTCAAGGCAATTCAGCAAAGCTTTATGAGTAACTTCTCCACAAAAGGCACAAAGGGGGCCCCAGGGGGCTTTGAGAGCACTGATGAGGGTGGGGGGAGGCCTAGCAGCAGCAGCCCAGGACCCTGGGAGTGGGGCCTCCCCCACTGCTTCAGCTCACTGCTCCAAGAGCTTGAAGGACAGGGGCGTGCCACTCTTGGCAAAGGACTTCATCAGACTGCTCGGATAGATGCACCCGAGCTTCTCTGGGGTTGGGAAGCCCCAGACCCTGTAGAGAGACAGGCTCAGCCGGTCCCCGATATAGAAGGGACCCACCCATTTGGCACTGCTGCCATTCCTGGGGAGGGACAGCAAGAGGACCTGGTCGCCCACGTTCCACTCTTTCTCCTGGCTCTCCCGCTTGAAACGCCTGTTCTCCACCTTTTCACTGACCTTGTCAGCCATCCTCCAGTGGAGCTCCAGCAGCTCCCCCGTCAGCTGTAGCAGGAAGACATCCATCTTGAGCCCTTCTATATTGGCACTGCTCATCTCCCACCACAAGGGTCCCATCAGCCTCTCCTGGCCCCCGGTCAGGATCTGGAATGGTGTGGCCTGGGAGGAGGAGGCCCTGAAGGCCAGGTGCAGCAAGGGCAGGGAAGCCGCCCACTTCTTGCCGTGCAAGAAGATAAACTCCTTGAGGGCCCTCTTGAATTCCCAGTAGGCCCCTGAGCTCGTCAGACAGGGAAACTGGAGGTCCCTACTCAGGGAGGTAGCCTGGGCTCCCAGGGCCAGCCCACAGCTCACCAGAACATGCCGGGCAAACTGGGGGCCTTGGGTGGCCTCCAGCCTCACGGGAACACCCCACCTTGCAAATACATGCTGAAGCAGCACTTGGGCCACAGCCATGTGTGTGTAGGGTTTCAGCGGGAATGCTTCCACCCACCTGGTGTTGGGGTCAGCCACAATCAGAACATGCTTGTGGCCCTCCTCACTTACAGTGACTGGGCCCACCACCTCGATCTGCAGGTTCGACCAGGGGGCAGTCGACCTGAGGGGCCACAAGGACTCGATAACCTTCAACTCATTGCCTAGGAGATTTCGGGGGATGCAGAACAAGCAGCTCCTGCAATAATTTCTCACATGCTCCTGCATCCCGGGCCACCACCCCAGCAACCGCAGCTTCTTGTAGGTCTCCTCAGGCCTCTGGTGAGCCCCCACGGGGAGGTCATGCACAGAGAAAATCAGATCCCTCCGGAGCTGCCTCGGGACTACCCAGACTTTGGGCTTCTTATCTCCCTTGAACAGGAGCAGGCCGCTCTCCTGATCCAGGCTGAGCGAGTTAGAGGCAGAACTGAAGGGTGAGGAGTTGGACAATTTCTGCCCAGCCCGCAGTTTGGCAATGACATCTGCCAGAGTGCTGTCACTCAGCTGTAATGCCAGCAAGTTGGGCCTCTTGCCCATGGTATGGGGGGACACTATGGGGACTGGCACATCCGTTGGCAAATTCCAAAACTCCCCGCCCCCCTGTGCACCCTCCTTGGCCAGGTTGTCCACTGTCACAGCAAACAGCGAGCCACGGTAGGAGGTTCGGTAGATAAATGGAAGGGATGGGAGGCCAGAGGTGAGGGATATGATGTAGGAGAGCAGGCTCGGGTGAGGTAGTGGGGACCCATCAGAGGACAGGAAGCCCCGGGCCCTCCACAGGGGCAGAAGCTCCCAGAGGACACTGAAGACCCAGTGGCAGTGAGTGAGGAAAACCACGGGGTAGTGGGACTGGCTGAAGCGCTCCAGGCCACAGGCCACGGCAGCCAGGTGGGCATAGGTAGGTGTGTAAGGCGAACAAGAGAAGGAAAGGGAGACAGGTGGGCTGGTGGGAGACAGGACATAGAGACCAAAGCCAGCACACCACTCATCCTCACGGTAAAAGCAATAGCCAGACATGTGGATGCAGACAAAAGTGGACAGGTCAGAGAAAGGAGGCAGGATCTGGAAGAAACGAGGCATGGAGGATGAGGGTGTCAGCAGTCGGTTTTCCCCCAGCAGGCCCTGGAGAAGGGTCAATTCCAGCGCCCTCTTGCCTTTGTCCTGTACCAAGAGGGCCCATCGGATCAACCATGCTTTGGAAAGCCTGCGGTCCTCCCATGCCTCAGGGTCCACACTGGTCCGAGCAGCGTAGGAAAGGTCCAGGACCACTGGGATGTCTCCAATGCAGCGGGAAAAGTGTTTGAGGGCCCAGGCCACAGCGTAGGGGCTGTCTCCCCCTGACTGGGGGCCCTCGCTCTCCTCGTCGGGGAGGAGGGGTTTCGAGGTATAGGCAATGAGGTGCTTTCTCCCTGAGTTCTCCTGATAGACAGTGGCCGTCAGGGCCACTTGGCTCACCATCACCTCCAGGTAGAAGGGCAGCTGAGAGTCAGGGGCCTTCAGGCAGAGGGCAGACACCAGGGCTCGCTTCAGGGCCAGGAAGGCCTTTTCATGCTCCTGGCCCCATTGCCAGTCTGGCTTCTGTTTGAGGAGGCTGTGTAGTGGGCCCACAAGGGCTTCATAGTCAGGGATGACTTCCCGGTGGGAGTCCATAAATCCCATGAAGAAGGAGAGTGCGGTGAAGTTCCTGGGGATGGTCATCTGGGCCAGGTGGGCAAGGACCTGCTGGCAGGGAGCCTTCCCATCCCAGGGGACACCTAGGGACGGAGAAGCCACCACTGGAAGGAGATCGATGTCAAGGGCTTCATCGAGGGGATCGTGAAGGCTGAGGCACCGGAGGATTTCCTCTGAAAGGGTGGGGCACTCAGACTTGAACACCGATGCCAGCGAGGAGTCCTGGTCTTCTTCCTCGGCTGGCCTCTGTGTGTCCTGCCCCACCCTCTGCTCCTCATCCTGTCTCTCCCTCAGCTCTGGCTCTTCGTCCTGCCTCTCTTCCTTCTCCTCCCTAACTTCTTCCACTTTCTGAGGACTCTCCAGGGGCCCTGAATTGGCGGTATCACTCAGCTCAGAGATCCTGGCTGAGCTGGGAGGAAGAGCCTTCCACACCTTCAGGAAGTTGCCAATGTCAGTGTCCAACCTGCACGGAAACAGCAGAGCAGAGGGACTGATGCAATAGGGAGGGAGAAAGCCTGCCCCCAGAGGCCATCCAAGGGGGAAACCACACCTGTGGAAACCCTCTGGAGCTCCACCCCATTGCTCAGTATCCCTGAAGCTGGACAGAGTGCCAGCCTCTGACTTAGCAGAGCCTCAGTCAGGACCATGCCTGCAAGTACTTCCCCTACCTCCACCATGTGCCAGGCCTCAATGTGAGATTCTGCCTTGCTTTGAAGGCTTATACAGTCAAAACTTCATTGACCAAGTGACATTTTCAATTGGGTTTAAGTCAGTGGTTGATAAGAATTAGATGACCGGTGCTTCCAACCTGACCCCCAGCTGAGCAAGCCAGGGAGAGGTCAAGAAGGAGAAGGAGAGGATTCCAAGATGGTGGCGGATTAAGTAGAAGCTGCACTGACACTTTCCCAGGGCCAAACTGGGTATACAACTAAAATATAGAAAAACCATCCTGAATAATCAACTGAAGACTAGCTTGAGAGAACCCTGATAACCAAGGACGGAAAGTGAAGATCGCATAGAGACTAGCAGGAAGTGTGGAGGCATAAAAGGGCTAGCTGGGCTCCCATAGACAGAAGCTGAAGTTCCAGAGGGATATCTCAGCTGTGAGGGGTTCCCACTGAGAACTCTAGAGGCTAAACCCCAAGCTGGGCTCCCCAGCCCAGAGGATCAAGACCAAGAAAGGTGCCCATATAACATCTGGCTGCGAAAAGCAGCAGGGTTGCTGTCTGCCAGGGAGAGACAGCTAGAAATGCAGGCACCCTCTTAAAGGGCCAACGCATAAAATTTCCTGTGTAGCCACTCACCTTAGGCTTTAGCAAAGGGATGACAGAGTGAACTAGAGCTGTGTGAGGAGAATCCAGGGTTCAGGACTCTGGGGCTAGAGCTCAGAGGGCAGCCACCTGGATTCCTGTGCTGAGTCATTCCCTCATACTGCAGAGGACACCTTTCTCAGGCAGACCTTAACCATCCAGGCAGCGTTTGCCTGGGGGAGGAAGCAATTGCTCCACCCTGTTGGGAAAACCTGCTGAGTTTACCTCGTGCTGTGGTCCACAGCCTGAGGCTAATAAGAGAATAACAATCAGCCTGCCAGCAGAGGTGGCTCTGTGGGTGCTTTGAGATTTTGCCTGATCTACTTCTGGATCCAGGGCTAGTAAAAGCCAAGCTTGGTGCACATCTTGGTCTTTTCCAAACTCATCCAGCCCTGGCAGAGGGAGTCACAGTGGTGGGTTGCTTATACCTACAAACAGGGTTCTCAGGGCCAGTCACAAATAGCATCTGAAATTGTACTGCACAGAGACCTTCCAAAGAGACTGGGAGTCACAGCAGATGTGCCTAATACATAGAAACAAACCCAAATGGGCAGCCAAAATGGGGAGACAAAAAAAGCCCCAAATGAAAGAACAAGAGAATTATCCAGAAAAGAGCTAAATGAAGTGTAAATAAGTAATTTATCAGACAGAGTTCAGAATAATGACTATAAGGATGCTCAACGGCATGATACAAAATTAACATCCATAATTCAATGGCATTCTTATACACCAATAATGATCTCTCAGAAAGAGAAAATAAAAAAAAAGATTTTTAGGAATCAACTTAACCAAGGAGGTAAAAGACCTGTACTCAGAAAACTACAGGATGATGAAAAAAGATAGAAAAAGATACAAACAAGCAAAAGAATATTCCATGTTCATGGGTTGGTAGAATTAACATCAGTAAAATGGCCTGCCCGGCTGGCATGGCTCAGTGGTTGAGCATCAACCTATAAATCAGAGGTCACGGTTCAATTCCCAGTCAGCGCACATGCCTGGGTTGTGGGTTTGATCCCCAGAGATGTTTCTATCTCTCCATCTCTCTCTTACTTCCTCTCTGAAATCAATAAAAATCTATATTTAAAAAAAAATTTTAAAGAAAAATAAATAGAATACTACCCAAAGCAGTCTATAGATTTAATGCAATCAAGAATAAACTAAAAATGGATAAGATACTTAAATGTAAGTAGTGAAACACTTAAAATCCTATAAGAAACCATAGGCTACAAAATCTCAGACATCTATCATACCAATATGTTTGCTGATATGTCTCCTAGGGCAAGGGAAACACAGGAGAAAATAATATGGGACTACATCAAAATGAAAAGCTTCTGCACAGCAAAAGAAACCATCAACAAAATGAAAAGGGAGCCTGCTGTATGGGAGAACATATTTGCTAATGATACATCTGATAAGGGGTTAATAGCCAAAGTATATAAGAAATTTATACAAATTAACAAAGGAGGACAAACAATCCAATTAAAAAATGGGCAAAGGACCTAAATAGACATTTCTCCAAAGTGGACATACAGATGGCCAAGAGACATATGAAAAAATGCTCAAAGTCACTGATCATCAGAGAGATGCAAATTAAAATGACAATGAGGTATCACTTCACACCTGTCAAAATGGCTACCATAACAAATCAACAAATTACAAGTACTGGTGAAGATGTGGAGAAAAGGGAGCCCTAGTATACTGCTGGTGGGAATGCAGACTGTATGAAGTTTCTTCAAAAATTAAATATGAACTGCCATTTGACCCAGTGATCCCACTTCTAGGAATATATCCTAAGAAACCCAAAATACGAATCAGAAAGAATATATGTGCCCTTATGTTCATAGCAGCACAATTTACAATAGCTAAGATCTGGAAAAAGCCCAAGTGCCCATCAGTAGATGAGTGGATAAAAAAGCTGTGATACTTTTACACAATGGAATACTATGCAGCCGTAAAAAAGAAGGATCTCTTATCCTTTGAGATAGCATGGAGGGACCTGAAGAGTATTATGCTAAGCGAAACAAGCCAGTCAGAGAAAGACAAGTATCATATGATCTCTCCTATACGTGGAATCTAGTGAACAAAGTAAACAGATGAACAAAATAGATCCAGAGACATAGAAGCATGGGACAGACTGATGAATCTCAGAGGGAAGGTGGGGTGGGGTAGGGGGTGGGGAGAGATTAACCATATATGCATAACCCATGGACACAGACAATAGTGTGGTGAAGGTCTGGGAGGAGAGGCAGGGAAGAGGGTCAACGGTGGGGGGGAGGGAGACATCTGTAATACTTTCAACAAGAAGGTGCAAGAGGGGTAATCAACCAAGGACCTTGTATGCGTATATGCATGGCCCATGGACACAGACAATGGGGCAGTGAGGGCCTGGGGCAGGGGGCAGGGGCAGCTGGAGGGGGTCAATGGGGGATAAAGGAGGACACATGTAATACTTTCAACAATAAAGAATTATTTTTAAACAATTTCTTTTAAAGAGAGAAACAGAAGGAGGGTGGAAAGGGGCCCCAGTGACCTCAGTGAAAAAAAGGGTGGGAGAGTGGAAACTTTGAAACTTTGGCCCTACTCAAACACATTTTACATGGTGACACAGTAGGATGTGCATGAAAAAAGAGAGAAAGGCGGGGAGGTGGGTGGGGAGGGGAAGAAAGGAGGTCTGACAAGGTTTGGGAGAAGGCAGCGGAGAAGCCAGCAGACAAACCTCGACCAAATCACTTTTTTTCCAAACAGGGAAAGTGTGCCTGGGAGGACCTGGCCCAGGAAGCGGTGCCATGCCCAGAAGATCCACCACAGTCCCCCGCTGGGCTCAGGGAACTGGGAGATGGGCAGCAAGGTGGCTCGGAGGGGCGAAGGCCTCAGGATCGGAGTTACTGCAAACCAGTTCTGCTGGCACCAGCAAAGGGGCCTTAGGAAAGTACTAGAGTCTCAGATTTCTCATCTGTAAAATGAGGATAGTGGTCATGTATGCATAACTCAGGTTGTGAGGACCGAAGGGGATAATAAATATGGAATAAATTCTACTTGGCATAGACTGTAGACACAGCTGCCCTTGTACACAATGGAACAAGAACGAGGCTGTTCACTGCAGCACTGGTTCCAATGTCATAACAAGAAAACCATCAATGGCCCTCCACAGAGATCCGATAACTGTTGGGTTCTCCCGTAATGGAATACCACCCGGCCATTAAAGTGAGCCACATGGATTAACAGCTGGGGGAAAAAAAAACAATAAAAATTGAGTACAAATGCCTGTTTAGCACAGATAGTGTTAAAGTGCATGTGCAAAACCATACTGGAAGTGGTTCGTGGATGTGCAAATGAGAGAATTGTGAAAACCTGGAAGAATCAAGTCACTCTGCTCACTGTTAAACACTAAACAAATGCCGGCCAGCACTGAGGGCAAGTTTCTAATCAGTCCCAGGAGGGGCTGGATGCAGGGGAGGCCCATTACCTGTTTGGCTTCCTCAGGAACTCATCCAGGGTGGGGCCATCCCGGCCCAGGGGGTCATCGGGCACCATGAACAGATTCCCCGCAAAGGTGAAGGGCAGCAGGCTGGACTCAGAAGAGAGGAGGCACCGTCACAGAGGAGCCCGTGACCCACCCACACCCCACTGCTGCCTGGGCGTCTCCACAGGGGCGAGGACCCACATCTCCCCTTCGGCAGGTGCTGGTGGGCACTGGCCCAGGGACCCTAACACTGCCCCAGTACCCCACTGCCACAGGCTGCCTGACATCCAAGGGGAGGGAACAGCCCACCCCCCTCTCAGCCACCTCACCGATCTTTGACCATCAGTTTCTTGGAATTATTCATCAGGATGTGGAGCTGCTCATTGGTGACGATGATGCCATCTGTCTCCTCTGCCAGCTTTACCATGAACCTGCAAGGAGAGGGAAAGTCACTGAGACCCAGTAAACAGCCCCTCCCTCCCCTGGGCCTCTGGGGAAAAGAACTTGCAGTTTCACTTTGTGTTGGACAAAGGCTGCCCTTGGTCACTGGGAAGCCAGGGCTCAGGAGCCCATCCCCTCATCTATGCAGCTATTTGGGGTCACCACTAGCCCCTGGGAGGGTGAACTGGGAATGTACACCTCCCAACTGTTTATTCAAACACAGACCCCTATTTTACACATACACATGCGCAGACACCCACAGAAACCCACACACTCATTCCCATCCACACATGCATTTTACTACTTCAGTTTCTGCATCTGTAAAACATAAATGCCTTCCCTCTCCTGCTGTGAGGATTGAACTGAAGGATGACACATGGAAACATCTAGCTCAGCCTCTGCCACACAGCATAGACACACATTTTCCCTTATTCTTCTTCACCAGCACATAACATTCATGTACATGCCAAGGCACATATATGTGTGTGCATGGATACACATATAAAAACATACCCGAAGAAACAAACCTATTTCCCAAGGATCCCTTCTCAATCGCTGTGACCAGAAAGCATGCTATTCCACTAGTGCCCAGCAGAGGGGCCTTCTGCAGAAAAGCCGTCCTCCCTCGAACCCAAGCCTGCATCTAGAGCACTTACACACCTCACCCAGGGGGCTTGCTCTTGAAGGAGAGATGCCTGAGCTGCCCTGCCTAGCCCTTCCCAGGCCTGAATGCTTAGGGTGTCAGTTTTGGGAAAAGTGAGGAGGAACAGAATTTCTTCCTGCCCGGTATGGGAGGAGCCTAAGTGACACCAAGACCTGTGTCTGCCCGGCCTGGACTCCAGCCCAGGACCCGTGACTACCGCAGGGCCTTCCTGCCCCGGCAGAGGCAGCATCGCAGACTCCCCTGTGCACAGTGTGCAGCCAGGTGGGGGACCGGGTGCTTGGGGCTGACAAGTAGGGAGGCATTCGGGCTTTAGCCAGGAAATGGGGCCAGTCTAACCGTTTTCAGAGGCCAGCCAGAGCTCCGGCCACACACACCTCCTCCCAGCGCCAGGGCTGGGGAAGGGGAACACTGGAGCAGTTCCTTGAGACATGAACTTCAACCCGCTGCCTGGGGGAGCAACCCACTCAAGACCCCAGGAGTCACCTGGGCTAGCCCAGCCACAGCAGTGGGTCTCAGTCCGCAGGTTGTGGGGGGAGGGAGCCCGTGAACTAGGGAAATGGAGCTGCAGAGTCCCAAAGTCAGGAGTGCCCCTGGCCTCAGGCAGAGCTGACCTGGGAGCCCTCTCCTCACTGTGTCCCTCTGTGCAGAGGCCATGTGCCATCCCCTCTGAAATGGCCCCCTGGACACAGAGCAGATGAGGCAGGACTCCACCTGACCCACCAGCCCAACCGCAGAGCCCGGCAGGGAGAAGGCTGGGGCCTGGCACACCTGTAATCGTAGGTGGTGATCTTCTTGCCGTTCTCAAGCTGGGAGGGGGTGATCGAAAGCATCTTGAGGGAATGTAGCTTCGTCAGAAAGTGGCTCTCTGGAGGCGAGAGGCAGAAGATAGAGATCGTCAGAGGAAGGGCTAAGTGAGAAAGGCCGTGGTGCAGAGAGGCTGGGTGCTGCTGGAGGGGCTGAGCGGGGCTGGGAGAGTGGACAGCTCACCTCTCACCCTCCGGTTCTTCTTCAGTTGCCAGGTGGGTACAAACACAGTGACCTCCCGGTGTCCCCGGTTCCAGAAATACTGCACTGCCATGGCAATGCCACGGCAGGAGAAGAAGTGCTGGAGGCCATGTCTGTGGGGATGGTGAGAAGTGAGGGAGCAACTTCTTGCCAAGGAACCACCCTGCCTCCACCCCTTCCTCAGAGCCTGGGAAGCACAGTGGGCAATGCCAGGGCACCAGCATCAGCACCAGAGACACCGACAATGCCCTCTCCCTTCCCTCCATCATTAACATTCTGTGAGCACCTACTGGGAGAGCTCACCTCCTGTGTGTTTCATGTGTGTGTGCATGTGCACGGGTGTACAGGGGCCTGCAGGGCAAGAAGAGGAAGAAGGCAGCCTCTACACCCAAAGAGCTCAAGTTAGAACTGGAAGCAAACAAACATTTGCTGACCACCAGCCTTGTGCTGGGAGTGTGCTCAGCACAGATAACTCTCTACCATGTTGGCACATTGAGTGGTCTTACATATATTCACACCAACACATACACACAGTAAGTGCTGTGCAGAGAGGGCACCCTCTAAGGCTTGATCAGTAAAAGCTCCATAGAGGAGGTCTGTGCTGGGCCTTAGGGTTCGGGCTAAACATTTGAAGCCTGGCTGGGGGTTGACCGACACCATGTTATGTGAGGCAGGCTGCAGTGGAAAGAGTATGCACCCCGGCAGTGGACAATCTGAACCCAAAGACCAGCTGGAACCCTTACAGGCTCCGGGACCTTGGGCAAGATTTGTCACCTCTCTTTTCTGCTTTTGTCAAAGAGGGGGAACAGAAACCTACATTTGCAGGGCTGAGAGCTGCTGTGACAACGTCGCACACACTGCCTAGCATGCAGTAGCCACTCAACATAGGCCACTTCCAGCTTTGCCCCATCTGAACCACGTCACCCTTACACAGAGGTCAAAAAGGGGTGCCCACAGTTGCCCCAGGGATGCCCTGTCCCAGCTCCCCAGCATGCCCAGCCTACCCTCATGCTACTCACACCATGGCCACGCTGCTGCCATCAATGACCACTCGCCGCAGCCCCTGGTTCCCAGGTTCTCCCGACAGGTTCAGCTCGAAGGGCGTATTCAGGGCCTCGTGGTACCTCTGGAAGCTGGTCACTGTGCTGTTCGCCTGTGGTTGTCGCGGTGGCTGCCTTGGGGTCCCCTCTGACGCCCCCAGGAGCCCACCCACCTGAGGCTGGTGCTTACTACTGGGAGCTGCGGGGCTGCAGGGCTGGAGATCCTGCCTCCTGGCCTCCCCCTGGCCCTTTGGGGAGGAAGCACTGCCCCTTGACGAAGGCTGGGCCTCTCTCAGGAGTTTGGCTGCATCCACGGCTGGCCCTGGATCTGTGAGCGCCTTCTGCGCTGCAGGCGTCTTCGGAGCTCTGGAGGCTTTGGGGGCCGCAGGTGCTTTGGGGGCCGCAGGTGTTTTGGGGGCCGCAGGCGCTTTGGGGGCTGCAGACCCTGTTTTAGCCACAGGCCCAGTTTGAGCTTTGGGTGCTTTGGGACCTGCAGGTGATGTTTTGGCTGCAGGGATTTTCTGAGCTGTGGGGGTTTTCGGAGTCGCAGGTACCATTTGCGCTGCTGGTGCCGGTTGACCCGCGGCTGCCTTTTGAGCTGTGGGCCCCCCATGAGCAGCTGGCTTTGTAGGAGCCAAAGGCACTTTGGAGGCTGCAGGTTCTGTGTGGCCTGCGGGCATCATCTGGACTGTAGGCACTTTGGGGGCTGCAGATAGCACTTGATTTTGGGGTGGGGTTTGAGCGATAGGCACTGCTGCAGCCACGGGCACTTGGAGAGTCTCAGGCACTGTTTGAGTGTCAGGTACTGACTCAGCCATCGGCTCCCCTTGACCCACGGGCCTCCCTGGAGCAGTAGGCACCCCTTGCCCTGTGGGTGGTGCTGGTAAGGGCTCCTCTTCTGGGCCCTTACAATCCCACTGTACACCTCCTTGATCCCCCAGCTCACTTCCAGCTTGGAGTTGGGGTGTGGAGGTCAAAGGTGGCCCTACCTGTGGAAGTCCTGGGCTAGCTTTGCCCTTTATACAAGAGCCCCCTGAGACCACCAATAAACTCATGACTTTTGGGGGGGTCTCTGGCCTTGGGCAATTCTGTAGGTCTGCCTCTCCTCCTGGTCCCCCATCTGGGCTTTCCACACTGGGCAAAGGAACCAGCTCCTTCTGCTTCCACTCCAGGTTTAAGGGCAAAGGGCTCTGCCCTGGGAGCTTGAACTGAATGGGGCCCAGAGGCCTCTGCCAGAACGGGAAACTGAAGCACGCCTGGGACAGCAGCCAGGCCAGGTGGAGAGAATGCAGTTCATTGATCCTCCAGAAGGTCGTAGCAATGGTCCCTGGCCACAAGGGCCCAAAGGCTGGCCCCGGAGCCCAGGCCTTCCAAGATGGGCACACACCCAGGGTCGTCACCGGAGGCTGGAAGGAGAGTTTGTCTTCCACCCTCTGGAGCTGCCGCTGCTGTGCCACGGCCTGTGAGTGGTTTGCAGGGTCCTGGCTGCCGGCGGCTGGCACGGGCCCTTCCCTGTGGGCACTGTCCGTACCACCTTGACTGTTGGAACCGACCCTGGAGGAAGCGCAAGTTTGTTGGAAAGGTGGGCAGGCCAGTTAGGTGCAAAATTATTTCTTTGGGGTGGAGGAACGGGGTAGGGGCAGAGAAGCCAGACTGATTCTCCAAAACTTACCGTACCAGCTGGTTTGCTGTCTCCTGCTGTGCCTTCTGGCCTGGGCTGGCTCCCAGGCTGGTTAATCTCTTTGAATCTTCTGTGTTCCCATTCTGGAGGGTCCTCATCTCCAGCAAAGGCCCAGTACCATCGCCCACAGACGTCATGGCCGAGCCTTCCTTCGGCTGCTGTGGAGGGCAGATCAGGACCTCGGGGTCGGAGCGGGCGTTGGAAGTGCCAAGGCGGCCGAGCCACTCGATGATGTCCTCCTTGCCCGCAGCATCCCGCACCAGACTCAGCAGCAGCTCCTGGACTGCTGGGGGCAGCTGCAGCAGGTCCCCTGCATACTGGTCACCACGGATCCAGATCAAAGCCCCAAAGGCCCGGGTCACCTCAGCCTCCCAGATACCCCGGGGGGTGCAAACAGGGGCAGGGCCCCAGCGCAGTCGTCCCACCAGCTCCTCCAGCCAGTTCTGGGTCATGATGAAAGACTCGGTCAGCCCGCCCACCATTAGGGAGCCAGTGGGGCCAGGCACCAGGTATGCCTGGGTACTCCAGCAGAGGCAGTCGAGAAAAAGGCCCTGGGCCCCGAGGAAGGCGCAGTGCAGGGCTGGTGGGTAGCGAACCTCCTTCCACAGCTCTGGGTTGCACAGGCCCTTCAGATACTCCTGAAGCCACAGTGGGGAGAACACAGAGGAAGTCATTCCTTTAGGGAGCGGCCACTGGCTCACACTCCCCAACCCAGAAGGGCCATCCCTCACCAAGCAGGTGCCCTTCCTGGCTACCAGAAGCCAATGACTTCCATGGCCAGCCCCTCTCTCCCTGGTCTTGCCCCCTCACACACTCATTTCTTTACAGGAAACTCTGACAGAATGGGGAAGGCCTGGAGGGAAGGGAGCACCTGGGTTTGGAGACAAGGACCTGGTTCTACTTTCAATGTGACCTCAGTAGGTCAGGTTAATTGTGGGAAATGTGTCATCTTTCCAGGGAATGATCAGAGCATGGCCTCAGCCGCTTCACCTGTCTGACAAGTTAAACAAGGTACTCCTAAGGTCCAAGCATTTAAGAATTGTGAAATACCTAGGGGGAGGGGTATTGCATCCTCTAGGTACCAGGAACTTATGTGACCTGGGGCAAGTTGTTTATCCTCCCTGTGCCTATATTCCCTCCGCAGTAAAACGAGGATAACAGTTCTGCATCATTGGGCTATTACAGAGCTTCCATGAGTTAATACAAAGGAAGTGCTTAGCCTAGTGCCTGGCACAGCTTAGTCCCATTTTGCAGGCTCAGAAGGGCTATGCAACTTGTCCAAGGACACACACTAGAGAGTGACTGGGCCAGGATCATAAGCCACATCTGTCTGACCCTGAAACCAGGGATTCTTTCCACTTCCTCAGGCTGACTACACAGTGATAACAAGGTAATCTTGTGGGATTCTGGCTTAATCCCCCTTCAGAAGGTCTGTGGCACAATCTGTACCCGCACCATGGTAACTTTTTTACCCAGAGCAGACAGAGAAGGAGAGGAGGAGATAAGTCGCTGGGCCAGCACCCAGGAAAACCCCACAGATACACACAATGGCTGAACCAGAAGAAAGGCCTCTGGGATTCTGGGCAGACCAAGTCCTCCTGTTTACAGGGTGCACACACTCAGTCTTTAGCAGTTGCTGGGATGGGAGAGGTTGGGTTCCTCCACTAGATGGCTGAGCTCCACCAGGACAATCCCATCAGCTCCAAGGGAGTGTGAGCATTCCCTCTTAATCAGCCAACTCATGTTGACCACATTCACCCTCATGTCACTTCATATCACCATGTTGATAACGGTCATCTTCTTGCTCTCCCCTGACAGTTCCATTGGAAAATAAATGCTCCAGCCCTAACCAGTTTGGCTCAGTGGGTAGAGTGTCAGCCTGCGGACTAAAGGGTCCCAGGTTCGATTCCGGTCAAGGGCATGTACCTGGGCTGCAGGCACATCCCCAGTAAGGAGTGTGCAGGAGGCAGCCAAATCGATATTTCTCTCTCATCAATGTTTCTAACTCTATCCTTCTCCCTCTCTCTTCCTCTCTGTAAAAAATCATTAAAATATATTTTAAAAAAAGAAAAAGAAAATAAATGCTCCATTTTGGGTCCCCAGCAGCTACTCTGAAGATGGCTCCAGGCCCTCTGCTCAGTGCCCAGCCCATTCTTCCCTGCTATGGCCTATTCTTGCCTCTTCCATCTGACCCTGAACTGCCAACCCTTCCCCACAGGGACCGAAATGCACCCCAGCAGTTAAACCCAGGTCTAGCCCCTTTCTAATCAGTCCAAAACCATCTCAAAACATCATCCCACAGGACCTCAGCTGGACGACTGCCAGGCAAGGGTGAATCCGACCAGGTACGGGATCACTCTCCTTAACAAGCTCTCCCATCCCATACGCCCCACACTCTAACCATGTGAAAGCAATATGTAAACTCAAAGAGATGTGCTGGGTTAGGAGATGGTGGGTGGTTTCTTTCTCTTTGTATAAAGAGCTTAAAGTATTTATTGTGCCAATAATTGTTCAATATTTTTAACTAAAAGATATATAGGAATTGAAACAATTTTCAAAATAATAAATCTGAATATTTATTGAACACTTACTATGTGCCACACATTATCTCATGTATTCCTCTCTCAGCCCTGTAAGGAAATTGCTGTCATCCCCATTTTAGAGGAGCAAGGTTGGGCCCAAGGTTACACAGATAGTAGGCTGGGACACTCAGCCAGTCTGACTCCAATGTATAACCATGATGTTGTCTATAGTTTCAAGCAAAAAAAGATAAAAAGAAGAAAAGGTATACAGCAGGCATTTATATCCAGTAAATACCTGGAGCACTTTTTCTGCATAAAGCCTACCCAGACCGTTTTCCTCCAAGAGGAAAAAAGTAGAGATGAGGCAGGAACAAAATAAGCACATAAAAATAATGATGTGTTTGTAAAAACATATTGCCCAATGTCCCACAGGTCCTTTGTCAAATTGTAAATTAAATAAAAACACCACTAAATTACTTAATACTGCTCTATACTTGATCAAGTTGCTTTATTATTTAACACCGAACTTAGGATTCTCCTTTCTCATAAATTCATTATTATTCATCATCTACTTTCCAGAACCATCCAAAATTACACTGCAGAGTACACAAAAGGCTCAGAAAATGGCAACACCAAGAAACTCTGGAATTGGAATTGAAGGGGAACATGAAAAAAAAAAAATTAAGGCAAACTGAGGTAAAGTTGTTTGAATAACACAGGCTTAGCAAGTACCTCCCTACCCACAGGAGGTTTGCTCTCTAGAGAGTTGAAAACAGATCCTAGAATTAGAGGTTTATCAGCATACTTGAGAGTGTAGGTACCATAAAAAATAAACAAGCTCTCCCATTCCATACGCCCCACATTCTAACCACCTGAAAGCAATATGTAAACACAAAGAGATGTGCTGGGTAAAGGGAGGAGGGCCAAATATGATGTCTACAATGAAGGCCAAGTATAGAGAAACTCATTCTTCTCTTTCAGAGATTCAGCAGCCAACCCTGACGCTCCAGGACAGAGAATAGAGAAATACACTCTAGAAATCCAGCCAGCTCAAGAGCAAAGACAACCAAACAGGTGCCCTAACAGACAGTGCCCCCAGATACCCGTACAGCCACGCTCCAGATCAGTAAGCCTCAGTCTCAGTTCCCAGTTGGCTTTTTGGGTCTTACCCTTAACCATGCAAAGATTACCAAACATATGAAGAAAACTAATGTGAGGTAAATATGCAAAAGATATATAGGAAGAGGTGGGGAGCAACTTGAAGAAAAAGAAAGTAGGGAGGGAGAAGAAACCTTCAGAAAGTTTACTATCATTCTCCTCGCCGTGGTTCTCAACCTTCTAGCCCTTTAAATACAGTTCCTCATGGTATAACCCAACCATAAAATTATTTTCGTTGCTACTTCAAAACTGTAATGTTGCTACTGTTATGAATTGTAATGTAAATATCTGATATGCAGGATAGTCTTAGGTGACCCCTGTGAAAGGGTCGTTTGACCGCCAAAGGGGTCGCAACCCACAGGTTGAGAACCGCTACCTTAGAGAGCTAATAGAGAATATTGTACACACTGAACAAGAATAGGATACTATATTTTAAAAGAGAATTCAGAGAGAACATAAATGACTTTTAGACTTTAAAAATATGATGGCAGAGCCCTCACTGGTTTGGCTCAGTGGAGAGAGTCGGTCTGTGGACTGAAGGGTCCCAGGTTCGATTCGGGTCAAGGGCATGTACCTTGGTTGTGGGCACATCCCCAGTAGGGAGTGTGCAGGAGGCAGCTGATTGATGTTTCTCTCTCATCGATGTTTCTAACTCTCTATCCCTCTCCCTTCCTCTCTGCAAAAATTCAATAAAATATATTTTTTAAAAAATATGATGGCAGAAACTAAAGACCCAGAAAGGGATTGGAAAATAAAGTTAAGGAAATCTCCAGAAAGCAAAGCAAAAAGTCAAAGTTGGAAAAAATAAGAAAAGTGGACCAGTCAGTCCAGAAAGTCCAGTGTCTGCATAGGAGTTCCAGGAAGAGAGAGAACATAGAAAACACAGGGGGAAATCATCCACGAAGTATTTCCATAAAATGCCCTAGATCTGAAGAACATGAGTATCCAGATGGAAGGGCCCATCGAATACAATAGTAACTAACAATGGATGAAGACATCTACACAAAGGGGGTCTCGCTGGCAAACCTTAGAACAGTGGGGGAAACTACAAACTTTGAGAGAGGAAAAACTTCGCATACAAAGGACCAGGGACCCAGGATAGCTTCAGACATCTAAAAAGCAAGAAGTCTTTGGAGTAATGCCTTTACTCTTCTGAAGGAAAATAATTTCCCATTTCTAATTCTATTCCAGCCAAACTATCAATCAAGTGACCTTCAGATACACAATTCCAACTTTTTACTTCCTAATCTTTCTCAGGAAGCTACTGGAGAGACTTGCCAGCAAACAAGAAAGGAGACCAACTCTGGAAAAAAACAAAGACAATCTCCAGGATGATAATGAAGAGAATTCTCAGAATTTATTTATCCATTCAAGAAATCATTATTGAGCACCTATGTGTCAGACACTGTTCTAGGATAACAACTGTCTGCAGGCGTAGAGAACAACTAGTTCAGATTGGAGGAAAGGACTCAAGAAACAACCACATTGAGAGCAGTCATCAGTAAACTCTTTACCACTGCTCCATCTTTCAACTTGATGAAGCTAATTTTTAAAACACATTTTTATTGATTTCAGAGAGGAAGGGAGAGGAGAGAGAGCGATAGGAACATCAATGATGAGAAAGAATCATTGATCGGCTGAACTCCCTCTCTTGGGGATAGATCCCGAAACCCGGGCATGTGCCCTTGACCAGAATCAAACCCAGGACCCTTCAGTCCGCAGGCCGGAGCTCTATCCATTAAGCCAAACCAGCTAGGGTTTGATGAAGCTATTGATGGATGTGCTCTAGCAACCCAAGAAAAATAAAGATATTCAGCCCACGAAACAAGACATTTAACAACAACAACAAAAGAAAAAGGGATGCCAAGAATGACAGCAAAGAGAAGTCTCAGGATGACAGCTATGCAGGCCAGACAGGACAGAAGGAAGGATGTCTCTAAGAAACAACTTGGACCTGAAAAAAACACTTTGAACCCATAAATTGACCTTGTAGAAAATTGTAGTGAGAGTCCACTGAAAGTTGTAGAAATTAGCAATAGATACAAAGAAAAACAAGCATATTAAAGAACAAGAAATTCCTGCCCTGACCTGTTTGGCTCAGTGGATAGAGCATGGGCCTGCAGACTGAAGGGTCTCAGGTTCGATTCGGGCAAGGGCATGTGCCTTGGTTGCAGGCACATCCCCAGTCGGGAGTGTGCAGGAGGCAACTGAATTGATGTTTCTAACTCTCTATCCCTCTCCCTCTCCCTTCCTCTCTGTAAAAAATCAATAAAATATTTTTAAAAAAAAGAAATTCTAAACCTCAGTGAAATAAAAAAGAAAGAAAATGTAATCATAGTACACTTAGATGTTAATATTTGCATAAGGCATAATGATGCAAATTCTAATATAAATTGAACAGAAAATTTAAAAATAATTATATTGGAAATAATCAAATCTTCACCTTCAATAATAGGAAGTAAAAAAATGATCTAAAATGGGTTGATCAAAGATAACAGTATCTACAATTTTGTCCTTTGTCTACAAGAAAGGACACTGAAGAGAGAGAGTTGGGAAAGACAGGCAGGGATTCACTGTGTTCTACTGTGAACTTTTTCAAAATTATTGGACTTTTAAATTGTTAATTACTTGGATAAAAGAAAAAAGTTTAAAATAAAGGAGAAGGGTAAGATGCCCACAACACAATTTGGGGGTAGCTCTGATATGTAGCATTTGCCAATTTCTGGGGTGTAAAGACTCCCCCACGGCTGATTTCAAACTACCAATGGAATGCTACTGGTTTGCAAACTTCCTGAAATTTTAATAGGGCCAGCTCCAGCATACCCCTGGCCACTTCCATGGTACTGTGCTCTACGATTAGTGCGGAGCAGGAATAGATGAACTTCCAACTGACAGCCAGGCCAAAAGACAGCAAACCACACCCTGTTCCCCAGCGCCCTGAACCCAATCTCTGGCTCCGCATCACCTCCCTCCCCCATCTTCAAAAAGAGTCTCCAAGAACGGGAGATGCAAACATGTCATCTCTCCTCTGTGAGTCCAATCCTTCCTCACATCATTGCCCAGGATAGAGGGCTTGTCCCTGGGCAACTCGGATCATTATTAAAACCTTCCTTTCCACTTGCTGATTTCACCCCAGAGGTCAGTCATCCCTAGTATTTATTTTTGCTGCCTGGGAATGTAATTCCAGCAATGTCCTCATTTTTAAAAAAAA